AAAAAATCCCCAAATCTTCGAAATTTTAATCCTTTAGTCGATGAAGATCATAGATTCATTGTACGATATATAACAAACAAACAAAAAAATCTAAAACGTCCCATCTGAAAAAACCAAAATCTTTGTTTGTTTGTTATTCTCTGTAGAGAATTGTCCCACTCAACACATGGGTCCTCATTTCCAATTTCAAGCTCGCTTACAACATTCTCCGTCGTCCAGACGGTTCATTCAATCGTGACCTCGCCGAGTTTCTCGATCGGAAAGTTCCCGCCAACGCTTTCCCTGTCGATGGTGTCTTCTCCTTCGACCATGTCGACACAACAACAAACCTCCTCACCAGAATCTACCAACCTGCTTCTTCTATTGATCAGACACGTTACGGTACTGTCGAGCTAAACGAACCCTTAAGCGATACAGAGATTGTCCCTGTTCTGATTTTCTTCCATGGTGGTAGTTTCACTCATTCATCAGCTAATAGCGCGATTTACGACACTTTTTGTCGGCGGTTAGTGTCTATTTGCGGTGTTGTTGTTGTGTCCGTTGATTACCGGAGATCGCCGGAGCATCGGTACCCTTGTGCTTATGATGATGGTTGGAATGCTCTCAAATGGGTCAAATCAAGAATTTGGCTTCAGAGTGGTAAAGACTCGAATGTTTATGTTTATTTAGCTGGAGATAGCTCAGGAGGTAACATAGCTCATAATGTTGCTGTGAGAGCAACTAAGGAAGGAGTTAAAGTGTTGGGGAACATTTTGCTTCATCCAATGTTTGGTGGACAAGAGAGGACTGAATCAGAGAAGTGTCTTGATGGTAAATACTTTGTGACTATACAAGATCGTGATTGGTATTGGAGAGCTTATTTACCTGAAGGTGAAGATAGAGATCATCCAGCTTGTAATCCGTTTGGACCTAGAGGGGAAAGTCTTAAAGGAGTGAAATTTCCAAAGAGTCTTGTTGTTGTGGCTGGTTTAGATCTTGTTCAAGATTGGCAATTGGCTTATGTTGATGGGCTTAAGAAGACTGGTCATGAAGTTAATCTTTTGTATTTGAAGCAAGCTACAATTGGGTTTTACTTCTTGCCTAACAATGATCACTTTCATTGTCTTATGGAAGAGTTGAAGAAGTTTGTGCATTCGATAGATGATAGTCAAAGGAACTCAAGTCCTCTTCTACTAACTCCATAGCAGAAAGAAAGGCCTGGTCATGTTGCCGCTACATACATAAAGAGAAGAAGAAGAAGAGTAGAGGATCGGTTTGTTTTGCATATGATGAGGTTTTTGTGTACAGTTTCCACAAGTCTTGTGTAGTGTTCAATAACGTTTTTTGTGTCTTCAATGGTCTCCTGAAGCATCTTAAGTCTTGGCTCAGTGTGAGATCTTTAGTTCACCGAAGTTAAAACCAGTTCGGTTGATTATCGGTATCTTTCGGTATAGGGGTAAACCGGGAGATGGTACTTTGTTTGCCTAGTAGTATGGTGTAGTCTTTAATTGGTTTCTAAAGTACAGAGGGTAGAATACAAGGTAGCTAATTTGTCTTTCAACATGTTGTGGAAAAAACTTATCCTTGGTATGGATTTGTATGTGTATATTACCTTTTCAATGTTATAATGCTATTAATAGGAAGAGTATTGTCTTTGTGGTTGTAGTTTCTCACCTTCTTGTTTTAGTGCATTCATTGAAAGGTTTTTTGGCATACAAAAGACAAATGTTTAAAACCCTTTTTCCCCTTCCATGTCTCTCCAAGCATTTGCTCAATCTATGCCATAATCGTGAAATATTAAAAAAACAAAATAAAACACACATAAAAAGAAAGATCCAAAGGTCTAAGTGAAAACCCTAAGGAGACATGTGGCAATGGCTTTGAAGTGAGGTATAAAGAGAGAAGGAAGAGGAAATAAATGTGAAAGAAGAGAAAAGACAAGTGTGGTGTGTGCATTTGAGGCAAAAGCTTCACAATGCCAAAACCAAACCCCATCCACCCAAATGAGAGAAAAGCTTACACAACAAAAATCAATATATTAAATAATGATTGGACAAAAATGTCAAAATCAATAATCGTTTTTTCTTTATATTCCTTTTTTAAATAGTTTTAGTTTTCTTTGGCATCTTTTGCTTATTGCCTCTTGTATGTGCATGTATTTGATTTGGAATTTTTGGTGTTTCCTTGTAGTGGTTATGAACTTTGGGGGATTCAACATGGACCCCCACCCCTTAAGAGAAAACAATCTCTTTTGTCTACATATGTTTGTTNCTATATATTTCTTCATTTCTTTATAATATGCTATTTATAACCATGGCTTATGTGTGATTGTTGTTATTATATACTTTGTGGATGGATGCCAAGTGGTAGGGACGTTGAGGCTTGGAGAAAAGAAAGAAAAGCGATGCTTTCTTCTTTGTTTACATGCTATTTTTTTTCTTATAAATAATGAATAAGTAAAGAACATTTTGCAGGTAACTTCTTACTTTGAAATTGAATATAATAATTTTCTTTTCCCCATTAACATTGACTTTTTAGTCATGGCCTCGCATGGATCTTTCAAAATTAATTTTCTAATAGTACTATAATTAAAAAAAAATTCCTTATATTTTTTGGGGCTCTCTTGTCAAAGTATTTATGACCAAACTTTTGGCTCATTGATGCGTGTGTGACAAAGACTCTCGTTTGTCTTGTAATGAAATTGTCTTGGCAATTACTTGGGGAAAGTGTATTATATTAAGGATTTTAACTTATTGAATGTTATTTTTTAGAAATGTTAAATCAGCTAATGTTATTTTTTAAGAGAAGAATTCTTGGATTTTTGTAACAAAGGGTCGCTCTCATCTAGTTTTGTTGCTTTAAATTCTGACAAAAACAACTTAAATTTGTTTGGTGATTTATCAACTATCTTCTGGTTTTTCCATAATTCATTAATTTGTCGTTTACACTAAAGATTCTTTCTTTTGTCAATGGAATGGCTTTGTCGTTTGTGGACTATATTCAATGCTTTGGATCCAAAATTACAAATTTATTATATTCATCATCTAACTAACTTTGAGCTTAAAGGTTTGGTTTGAGGAATCTTTAATTTGTTTTTTCAAAAGGGTATAATATAGCTTTTGGGTATCACTTTTCTCCAGTTCACATTAGGAGTATCAAACCAAGCCAAAGGTGACTGAAATCGTGTCCAAACAAACGGTCTATAAACTAAACCAAGAGATATAAATAAACTATAATCAACTTTTGGGTTTTTATTTTGTTTCTTTTGTACGTGAAAACATATTAAAAACAAGGGGTAGCCAAAATAGAACCGAAAAAACCCAACTCAAAATTCACAATAAAATGACCTGATTATAAAAGAAAGAGAAAGAAGGTAAATAATGAGATTATAATCAGGGAAGAAGCTAGGCTATACTCTGAATGGAAAGTATTGTAGACGTGCAGAAGTTTCAT